AGCCCAAGATCGACCGTCCAGTCACCGTCTTCCTGCAGCTGAAGCGGAAGCGAGGGGGTGACGTGAGTGACTCCAAGCAGTTCACCTACTACCCAGTGGTGGAAGGTGAGCACCCCCCAGGCAGGCCGGCATGCCACCTGCTGCTGGGGCTGCCCCTCACCCCTCTGCCCCTTTCTCCCTGCAGATAAGGAAGAAGTGGAGAGGAAGCGCAAGAAAGTCCTGCCTCAGTTCCCCCAGCACTTTGGCGGGGGCTCACACATGGGGGGTGCTGGTGGAGGGGCCGGGGGCTTTGGCTCTGGAGGAGGTGAGTGGGGATGTCTCTTCCCCCTCCACACTTGGGTGGTTATGGCCTGGCCCTGGGACCTCCCTGCTCCACTCTGCTCACCTGTTTTCCCCTTGCTCTGCAGGTGGGAACCTCAACTTCCCCTACTCCCCTGGGCTGACCTACAACAGCATCTACTCACCCGGTCCCCACCCTGTGGGGGGATACCAGGGGGGTGTGCAGATGAAGGGCCCCGAGGCAGAGGGGCCTGGGAGCAACAGTCAGGCACCTGCAGAGAGCACATACTGCAAGGAGCTGCAGAAGAACAGTAAGAGGGTCTGAGCTTAAGGGAGGGCTGGGGGACATTGCTCAGGAGAGGAGGCACAGGCTGGGGACCTTTCAGGGCTGGGTGCTGCTCTCCATACCTGGGGGGATGCAGGAGGGTGGATGGGGCTGCTGCTTTTGGAGGTAACGTCCTGCTTTGTCCCCCAGCCCAGCTGTACCAGCTGTGGATGCTGGCGCTAGCCCGTCGCAATGCCCATGCCCTGCTCGACTACTCAGTCACTGGTGACCCCCGCATGCTGCTGGCAGTCCAGAGGCACCTGGCTGCCACACAGGATGAGAACGGAGACACGTGAGCACACCAGGGGTTTGGACAAGAGTGTGGGGACCTTGTTGGCTGTCAGAGCCATTGTGGGGGATCTGGGGGTGGTGGAGAGTACCTGAAGAAACATGGAGCTGAGCTAGGGGCCATCCCGCTCTTCTCTACAGGCCTTTGCACCTTGCTATTATCCACGAGCAGACAGCTGTGATCAAGCAGCTGATCGAGGTCATCGTTAGCATCCCCAGCCAGCAGATCATCAACATCTCCAATAACCTGCAGCAGGTACATGTTTCCCAGAGCAGCCGGTTCTCCTCTACCTGGGAGTAGTTCCTCACTCCTCTTTCCCAACCCTGGGGCTCCTGTTTCTGCTCCCGTTGAGGGAAGGCTGCAGGTCTGAGCCAGGTGCAGCCACACTGGAGGAAACTGTGGTGCAGACTTGGCTCCTCTTGTGAGCACTGTTGATGGGGTTGCTGCTGTCGCGCAGACGCCGCTACATCTGGCAGTCATCACCAAGCAGCCCCAAGTGGTCCAGCTCCTGCTGCAAGCCCGTGCTGACCCAACCTTGCTGGACCGCTACGGCAATTCCCTGCTGCACCTGGCACTCCAGGCTGGCGATGAAGAGATGCTGAAGACGTTACTGGCTCACATGGGCTCGGCTGCCCCTTACCTGCTCCACCTGCCCAATTTTCATGGTGAGTAGGGCTGGGAGATGATGAGCAGGACCCCAGTGGTGCTATCGTGGACTTGGCCAGAAGGCTGCTGACCCTCTCCGCCTGTTGCAGGCCTCCTGCCTGTGCATTTGGCTGTGAAGGCAAAGAGTTTGGCCTGCCTGGACCTGCTGATCAGGAAGGGTGCAGATGTGAATGCGGTGGAGAGGCAAAGTGGGAGGACCCCACTGCACCTGGCTGTGGAGATGGAGAACCTGAACATGGCCACCCACCTGGTGAAGAAGGTATGGGGTGGCTGGTGGGGTGGTGGCTGTGGGACAGGGATGGGTTGCAGCCTCCTACAGAGCCCTGGCAGAAATGAGGGCTCCCTTGAGGTCTTGGGGTGACACGGTGTAGGAGGAGCAGTGCCCAGGTAGCCCATGCTCATGGCCTCGTGCCTTTCTCCATAGCTGGGAGCAGATGTGAACAGCCGGACTTTTGCCGGGAACACTCCCCTGCACTTGGCTGCTGGCCTGGGCTCCCCCACCCTCACCAAACTGCTCCTCAAAGCTGGTAAGACACTGGCCTTCCTCTTTTCCCTCTACAGCCCTGGCTGCCTGCGCCAGGGGGTACTGGGCACAGGGCAGACCCCTGGGCACACCTTCCCTTCTGGGGACTCAGTCCACCCTTTTCTGACAGGGGCAGATGTGCTGTGTGAGAATGATGAGCCCATGAGCCTGTCCTCATCAGAGGCCAGCAGCGACACGGACACCGACCCCGAGGAGCAGGAGCAAGCCATGGAGCTAGGGGAGCCAGCCCCAGCTGTGGAGCACAGCACTAGTCCCACGTCCCCCACGCATGGGCAGGGGCAGGCAGGGCACAGGCAGCGCCGCTGCCACACGTCCCTGGACCTGACTCGGAGCCAGAAGGTGATTGGTGCAGTGAGACAAACTTCCTGGGAGCATTTCCGTGGGGGCAGCAGCATGGATGGGGCAGAGCTCCAGAAGATGCACCTGTCCCATGCCTATGCCCCTCCGTGTCCTCGAGAGATCCATAGCATGTGGAGGTGAGGGGGATCGGGGCAGTGCTTTGCGGGATGCTGACATCTGTGCTTGTCTGCAGGTGCGGGAGATCCTGCTGCAGGCCTCCCAGCAGAGGCCAGACACAGAGCTGCCCACTGCCCCTGAACCAGGTGGGCAGCCCCTCTCCCCACAGAAGCACCATGCTTGGGCAGGGCAGCACCGTCCTGGCAGTGAGGATGGGCAGCATGTGATGGAGGCATCTCTCCCACACAGGGAAGGTCCTGTCGCTGGACAGTGAGGCGCTGCAGGGGCTGGAGC